GGCCCCACAGAAGCCCAAAGGCAAACCCCAGAAAACTCCAGGATACCTCGAGAGGGCCGCAGGCGGTCTCAAGCTGGCAGCTTGCACCACGCCGAAGGGAAGCTAAGCTAAGACACCCCGCCTGGACACAAAGCTATGCTAGGCGAATAAAGCGTGAGGCAAAATACGCTGAACGCATGCGAGTTCAAGCACTGCAGAAGAGGTTACGCACAGCTAACTCACTTACGATGAGCGGGCGTCGCTGCAATATCTCCACGGCGTGCTTGTGCTGATCACTGCATCTATCATCATATTACAGCATCGCTCCAACTCGTTCGGAACTCCGCCGATCCAGCGCGTGAGCTTCTGAGAGTGGATCCATGAGCTCCCTCAAGCTTCGCCCTGCAAGGGAGGGAGGGGGAGGAACGCCCTTCCCGACGCGTTCAGTGCTCTCGAGGGCAGGGAGGCCCACAGGGCCCCCAAGAAGGCCCCCGGGAGGCTCCAGAAGGGGGGGCGGAGGAACGCCCTTCCCGACGCATTTAGAGCTCGGGGGCGCCCCCCAAGAGGCCCGAAAGAGTGGCCCTGAGAGGCCCCAAAACGACCCCCTTCCCCGGGTCCCTTGCGCAATACCCTGAGCCTCAGTCCGCAAGCCTGAGTATTCTTCATGGGCCCGGACCCCAAGCTCTCAAATCTCTTGAGGCTCCCCGCGCGCCCTCTCCCGCATGACTTTTTCGAGCCCAAGAGAAGCCCAAGACGGCCCAACAGGGCCCCAAGAGGCCCAAGACAGCCCAAGAAAGCCCCGAATCACCGAACGATCGGTCCAAGACGCACAAGATGGCCCCCTGGCCATTACCATGATAAACATCATCATCATCATCATCAGCATCATCATCATCATCATCATCATCATCATCATCATCATCATCATCATCATCATCATCATCATCATCATCATCATCATCATCATCATCATCATCATCATCATCTTCATCATCATCATCATCATCATCAGCATCATCATCATCATCATTATCATCATCAGCAGCAGCAGCATCATCAACATCATCATCATCAGCAGCAGCATCATCACCATCATCGTCATCATCATGTGGAGCGCCCCGGATCGTCGGCATTGGCCAGAGGCCAGCACAATAATTTGGAATGGTGTGAGCACGCGAAGCGTCGACAATATCTCACTACTGACTTCCCACTTGCGCCATCTGCAAAACATAAGATACCACACGACAACTAAAACATTAAAAACGTGCCTTCCCGACTCAACAATGTAGGAGCATACTTCAGCAAGTAACATCCAGCTGCGCACGCATCACGATAACCTCGAGGTTCGCATAAAAGGAATCAAACGTAACTTGAGAATAGCAAGTGGAGAATCCATGTACACATCTATATGTATATATGTAGATACAGATGATTTCGGACGATCAACCCTGCCGTCCCTGGCGGCACCCAGCCTGCAGGACGTCTTCACGAATCCCCTCTCCACGGGCTCGGCGGAATGGCGTAAGCCTCTAGGAACAAGCAGAGAACAACACATGGCCTCCCCAACCGTCCCGGAGGTTCTCTGGCGTCGGGATGGTCAAGCGTGACGATTCGAGCAAGAACTCCACGCCGATCGCGTGCGCTGCGACAGAGGCGTGGAGAGACAGCCACACGGCGAAGAGCAGGTAGCCAATCGCCGAGATGTTGCTCAGGAGGAAGATCTGTAGGGGGAGCCCGCGATCCTCCTCTGTGAACCTGGTGTGCGCCCCAGCCCTTGCATCACTGAGTTCTAAAGACTGCGGACCAATTACCAAGAGGGCCACAGGTGGGCCGAGGTGCATGTGGTGGATTGGTGCGACTCGGTGGCCCGGGGAGCTGGCAGGAGCAGGAATGTCACAGTACTGCTTACTCCAAGTTTCTTAATACGCGTCGGGGGGCGTCACCCCCACCGACGGCCCCACATCGACCCCCGTCGCGGGCAGCCACCGCGCGCCGGAGGCGCTCCGACCCCCGTCGCGGCGCGACGGCAATGCGAGGTTGACCCCCGTCGGGGGGGGTACCCCCCACGCTTATCAAGAAACCCAGCGTCGGGGTGATCAACATTCGTGCATGTGTGATCGTGCTTGCACTGGCACTGCACGTTGGTCCCAGCCAAATCCAAGGGCATCCCCTAAACTGTCCTTGCAGCTAACAGGTGTAAGCTGCGCTTGCAGCTGTTAGCTACACGCTTCTGCCGACTGCCGCACGCACTGCACCAAACTACCTGCGACCATCGAGAGGAAGAAAGACGGGTAGGAGTCATACTGCTGTGCTGAGCGAGCGGAGAGGAGGAGGGAAGCGGATGGTGGCGGGGGCCTGGAGTCGTGAGACGCAAAGCATGAGGTCGGGGCATCCTGGGGAAAAGCTTGGCTTCGAGACTGGCATATGTCACAGTTCGATAATGTTGATCAGAATATCTGGACAACTTGGGGGTGCAATCCTCGAGACGCCGTACCGTTCGGAATGCAACGATACAACAAAACAATCGGCAAAAAGCAATCGACACCTTATCGAGTCGAATCGCATCTCGGCCCAGCGAAATTCCGTCGTAGGTCTCCACCTGCTTCTGCGAGCAGCGCGCAGCGAGGCTCGCGCAGGGTCAACGGGCTGGGCGCTCCGCGCAGGACCCCCGGATCGCGCCCAGAACAGGGCCGGAAGGGAGCCCGCTCTGGCCATACGGTAGACGCCTACGATAAGAAGTCGTACTGTGATAAATCTAGCGGCATGCCCCTCGTCGACCTGGAGCTTCGCAAGCTGTGCCAGGGGTCTCCAAGACCGTCCCGGACACCCGACGACACGTGCTGCTCCATGCGCAGCCCCGACCCCTCACCCAGGGACAGTTTTAGTCCCGGACATGCTGTGGACGGTCCAGGGGCCCGATATCATGGACCCCAGCATCCGAAATCGAGGAAAACGCTGGGATGGAACATGTCACATCGTCCCGGGAAACCCTCCACTGGGGGGGGGGGGGGCAGAGATTCTCGTGGGGCCCCCACTGGCCCATTCCTCGTCCGGCTCGCCGACAGCGACTCCTCCCGGAAGCCCCGTCCCCACGGACCCATCCAGGGCACAGAGACCGACCCCCCGCTGACGAGCCGCGCCCCGACGCGGTGGCGAGAGCCCCCTCTCGAGGGCCACGCGAGCGCGGCGCAGCAGACGGCCCCGTGAGCAGCGGCGGGCGGCCCCCCTGCCACGGGGCGGCCCTGGGCCGCGCGGGCGGGCCAGCGAGAGCCGCTCGGGGCGGCGCCGACGCCTCCCGGGGAGGCCCTGGCCGAGAGCGTGCTGCCGGAGCGCGCCCGGGGGCTCGCCCAGAGAAGGCCCGCGGAGAGCCGGCCAGAGCGCCCGAGGAGGGCCTCTCCTGCGTGCTGCCGCCCCGCCGTCCCGGGCCACCCCGCTGCGCACCCTCCTCCTCCTCCTCCTCCTCCTCCTCCTCCTCCTGCTCCTCCTCCTCCTCCTCCTCCTCCTCCTCCTCCTCCTCCTCCTCCTCCTCCTCCTCCTCCTCCTCCTCCTCCTCCTCCTCCTCCTCCTCCTCCTCCTCCTCCTCCCTGCTGCTACTCATCCTCCCCCTCCCTCTCCCTCTCTCCTCTCTCCTCTCTCCTGCGCTCCGCGGTGCGCGCCGCACGATGACTGGAGCAGGGCTGGGGGATCAGGTCGGCAGAACACCCCAAGCGGACGTCAAGGGGCGCAACCAACTTCGGTCAAGCTGACACTGATGCACCGCACCCGGCGTCAAGCCAAAACTTTGGACATCAGAAGCCAACGGTTGGCCTTGCACATCCTCGTCGGCTGCACCGGCGAGGCGCTTGACCACCTTGACGTCCCTTTTTGGTGGTCCTGCAGAGGACGGCGCGACACTCGGTCCTACTCCCACGGGGGCGCGCAAACAGGGATTAGCGGTCCATGGATTTGGCGCGCCAAAAATCCATCGAGCGGGGGAGGTGCCCTCCCCCAAAAGGCGGCCAACGCCGCGTCCTTCAGCGGCGGAAATCCGCGATGTCCCATGAAAAACGGGACCCGTCGCTAATCCACGCCCCCTTGATCCATGTTTGCGATCGCCTGCTCCAGCGATGATCTCCGCGCCCTCGCGCCCTCGCGCCGCCCGCCCCCAGCGAGAAGGGCAGCCGCTCCGGCCCGGACCGCGGCGTTGCGAAGCGTGCGACGCGCGATCGTCTCCGCGCGCCCCCGCGGGGGGCCTGGGCCACGGCCGGACCTGGGACAGCATCGGGAACGGCGAGAAGGTCCTGTTCTCAAGAAGGGTGATTTCGACGGCTGCTGCGGCGCCTCAGGCTGAGCTGGGGGGCCTCGGGTCGGGCCGGGGGGGGCCCCAGGTCTGGCGAAACCAACCTTGCAAAAACGAAACCTTCTGACAACCTCCGACAGAAGAACATCCCTCGAGAGCAGGAGACCCTCCGCCGGCCAAAGCACACAGAGCATCCCAGAGTACCCTCCCCAGGATGCACGAGGACATCCCGCGAGCGCGAAGAATCTTGGGGTACCCTCCCCGAGCCGACCTCGATCTTATACCTCAGTCCGACCGTATTTGCTTCGGGCACCTGGAAGTGCATGCCTCCTGGCTTGCGGGTGATCCCCCGCGCGGCCCGCTGAGAAGAACCCTGGGCGCCACTGGAGCAGGAGCAGCCGGTGGCATCGAAGGCCGAGGCTCAACGCATCACGCCTCAGGCCTAAGTATCCCTCCGAAGCCACCGAGAACTGGACGCCTGAAAATCAAGCCTCATGTTGGATAGGAACCATGCGAGGAAGAGGACAGGGAGGAGGAAGCGGAGAAGGAGGAGTAGGGACGGTGAGGACTAGGAGGAGGAGGAGGAGGAAACAGGAGGAGGAGGAGGAGAAGAGAGGACGAAGAGGGAGTGAAAAAGGGAGGATGAAGGGAGAGTGGGAAGAGGAGGAGGAGGAGGAGGAGGAGGAAACAGGAGGAGGAGGCAAGACAGACGCGAGCTCGGTGTGAGGAGAACCGCAGCCACCTACAGCAACGAGAAGTCAGCCCCGCTAAGCACCGCCTTCGCTTTCCCGAGCGAGTCGATCTCCTCGGAGCGGGCCTCCTGGCGGGCCTCAAAGTATTTCAGCAACCAATCACACTCCGCATGCAGCTCTGAGATGTACTTTTCGGTCATCATCAGATCCCTGGTGCCCATCTTTTCGGCCTCGGTGTGCTTCTCCAGGGCTGCCTCCAGGTCCGCCTTCAAGGCACCCTTCTCGGTGAGACCTTTGGAATCCTCGGTGCGCTTGGCAGCTGAGTCTGACATGAGAGCCTCGTAATCCTTCTGGCTGTTCTTCTCGTCCGTCTCTGCCTCGGTAATTTCTTTGTCCAAGTCCTTGATCAATAAGTCGATCATGGCCAGGACGCCGGCATTCTCGCCCGATTTCTTTGCGTACGAATCCCATGTCGCAGGTGGTGGCTCTACGGCGGTGTTCCGCTGCTGGTGGGATGAGACCTGCGCCAAAGTTACGCCCATGCTCTCTGCAGTCCGGTCCATGGTCGACAGCTCCACCTTCGCTGCTGGTTTGTACATCTTCGGGTTGTAGAATTTGTTCAGCCGGTTTTTCGCGAAGCCAAGGAGATTCTTCGCGGCAGAGTTAGAAGCGATCAACGCCTTGAACTCGTCGTGCTCTTCTTTTCGCAGTGCTGTGGCGGCAGCAACCATCTTATCCAAATCATTGATGGCGTCCCCCAATTTCTTGATGTCCTCCTTGGCAGCGGCGATGCCTTCCTGTGCGTTGGCGATGGCCGTTTCAGCGTCGGAGACGTCCCGCTGCAATCCTTTCTTCTTATCGTCAGCGTCATCGAACTGCTTGCCGCAATACTCCTTCTTGCCATCATCGTCGACCTGCTCGCGCTTCAGAGTCGCGACCATACCGTCAATCATCGCAATCACTTTCTCGAAGCCGATCTTCTTGCCACTCATCGCCAGCATGATGACGTCCAGGTCCGCACGGCTCCTAGGACGAGCCGCCCTCCGAAGGAGACCGAGGGCGCGAGCGCGCACAGCAGCGGACCTGCGCTCCACCTGCACGAACGCGGCACTCGCAGCCGGAAGAGTCTTCTTGAACAGCTCGAGGGCATCGTCATCATTCAGAATCTTGATGGTCTCGGCGATCGCGACGAGCTCCTCCTGGCGGGTCTTGCTCCGCTCCTCCCACTCCGCGTCCTTGGAGGCGCAGCCCTGCTCCAGCTCCTTCAGCACCGCCTGGTCCTCCAGCAGCTGCGCCTCGGTGTCCGAGAGGTCGCTCTTCAGCTCGACGATCGAGACCCCGAGCTCCCCGGACCGCTGGGTTTTCGACTCGATCTGCGCCGTGAGGGCGTCGACCTCCTTCCTCTTGGCGGACATGAGTTCCTCGTAGGTCTTGGCTGCTGCGCTCTCGTCGCTGGTCGCATCGGCCAGGCTCTTGGCCATCTCGTCGCCCAGCTGCTTGAGCAGACCTGTGATCTCCCCGCTGCTGGGCGCATAGTCTTAGGTCGGGCGTGTCCCCCGACAGGCGGATTTTGGACGATGATTTTTTCTTAAAGTCCAAAAGGATTCAGATATAGTCAAAGCTAATGTGTTACTGTTATTGAATATTCCTCCTGTAGAGGGACAGGCCCGACTTAAGCATAGTCGGAGCTCTGCTTGCCAGACAGGAAGGAGAGGAGCTCGTCGCGGTCCTCATCGGACATCTCCTGCTGCCTGAGCACGGCCCTCTTGAGGGCTTGAGCTCCGCCAGTCTGGAGGAATCCGCCAGCCGCGCCCTTCTCGAGTGCCGCCACCGCTTTCTTCACAGCGTCGATGTTGGCAGACAGGTCTGCCGATTCGGATGCGAAGGCTGCTGCTTCCCTCTCCCGGATGGCCGAGGCGTCAGCTATGGCCGTCTTTGCGTCAGCGCGGTCCACCTGTGCCTGCTTAAGGTCCGCTTTCAGCTGGGCCAGCTGCTCCTCGGAGGAGGTGATGTCGGAAGCCAGCTGTGGAGACTTCGCGTTGGCGGACTGGATGCTGGTCTCCAGGTCCCCCTTCCCTGTGCGGCAATAACAAACAAACTTCTTGTACAGCGCCTCATCTTCTTCGCCTTCCTTGGTAACCTTCTTCTGCATTGCCTGTAGCAAGTTGACCACTTTGCGGACTGGATTTGCGGACGCCTGCTCCGAAGCATGCTGAACCACCGCCTGCGCGGCAGCCACAATAATCACCAAGACTGGGGCGGCGAACTTCTTGAACATCGCCGGAGCTGCAATGAGTCTGATAATGGGCGTGATTGAAAAGATTTAAGCTTCAGCCAAAAAGCTACGGAGGAGGAGTAGGGGGAGCGCACAACTCCGCATGATGGGTTCGTCAGCTGACCTGGCCATGGAACAAACGGCGAGCAGTGGCAGAGAAAGCAGCAGTGGCTGTCGCGCTCGATCGCACTATCCTTAAGTCGGGCGTGTCCCCCTACAGAGGGATTTTGAACGATGCAGGGAAAGGCGGGAGAGTCCGCTTTGCAGATGGGCGCTCTGCAAGGGGAGGGGGGGGGGCCAGGAGATAGGGGGGGGGGACAGGAGAGAGGGGGGGGGGGACAATGAGAGGTGAGAGCAAAGGGGGGGGGGAGAAGAGGGTGGGGTGGGCGGATAGTGATAGGGTGGGGGGAAGCAGGATAGAGGGAAGGGGGGGGTGAGGGGGGGTTGTACCAGTAGAGATGGGTGGGGGGGGGGGCAGGAGAGGAGGGGATGGGGGGGGGGACCAGGGGGGGACAGGGAAATGGAGAAGGAGAAGAAGGGGGTGGGGGGGGCGGGATCATCACCATCTCCATCACCACCACCATCACCATCGTCACATCACCATCATCATCATCATCATCATCATCATCATCATCATCATCATCATCATCATCATCATCATCATCATCATCATCATCATCATCATCGCGCCGGCCCCAAACCGCCTTCCCCCCGCGGAGCGGCTGTAACCCCGACGAGAGACCGGGGGGCGGCGATGGGCGCAAGCCCAAGGAATTCAAAACTGACCAAAGGAACATCTTTTCTCCACGGCAGCGCAGACTCCTGAGGGGGGCCTCAGCCCCCGAAAGATGCAGGGAGGCCCCGTTCGTCGAGGCCTACCTGCACGTGCCCTGGCAGCGGCTCCAGCAGAGATAGAATACAGAAGAGGACGGAGGAGAGGAGGAGGAGGAGCCAAAATGACGTCGGGGGCGGCTACGATAGGGGAGCGATAATGTGACGCACATCCAATCGCGCCGGCCCCAAACCGCCTTCCCCCCGCGGAGCGGCTGTAACCCCGACGAGAGACCGGGGGGCGGCGATGGGCGCAAGCCCAAGGAATTCAAAACTGACCAAAGGAACATCTTTTCTCCACGGCAGCGCAGACTCCTGAGAGGGGCCTCAGCCCCCGAAAGATGCAGGGAGGCCCCGTTCGTCGAGGCCTACCTGCACGTGCCCACACTACCCAACTTCCGTTTGGTGCGGCTAGCCGAGGGTGGGAGTCGAGCAGAGCGAGACACGGGAGGGCCAAAATATTCAAGAATCTGCGCTGGGAGCCGCTGTGAAATCTTATCAGAAAGCTGCAGCTGGCTGGCGAGAGAGCGAGGACCGATTGCGGAGCATCCCAGCTGGCTTCGAATAACGCAGCACAGAAGATCGGCTGAGCCACCTCCCTCGAGCCTGGAGCCTGTCAGCATCATCTTTAAACCACCAAGCATCGTGACTAGGACCGGCATGCCGAAAGGCATGAGGCGTGAGGGGAAGCTTCTCAGAAAAATGCGATCGGCGAAACTGGCGGCACAACTGTTCCCACTGAGCGAGTGAGAGGTCGAGGAGGGGACCGGAGGTGGAGGATCGGGCGAGGGTGAGGACAAGCTTGGAGACCCACTCCCTATCATGAGCGCCCACTACTGTTGAAGCATCATACTGGAAGTTTTTCGCGGGCACATCCTGCGAGGCTGGCGCAACCGTCACGACGACCGGGTCTCCTGCACGACGCGGCAGCGAGACGCGGTCAGCGGCCAGCTGCAGGGCTTCCGACGGCCGGAGGTAACAGTCCACCGCGATCCAGGCGGCAGCGGCGGCCACCTTGCCCAGGTGCCCGCAGTTGTGGAACCAGAAGTCTGTGCAGAGCCAGATGATCTCCAGCGGCAACGAGTCCCTCACCTTGTCGGGGTTCGCTCGGCCAAATCCGTGGAGGGCAGCACGAGCGAGAGGGGGCGTCGTTGGCGATCGGGCTGGCAACCCGATGCAGTAGGCCGTGCCGAACACGGCGTACCGGGCGGCGCTCACGCTGTCGCCGCGAAGGAACAGCATGTCGAGGTAGCCGTCGAGGACGCGGTCCCACCCGTCAGCGGTGGCGGGCAGCTGCCCGTGGAGGCCCGCCCAGGCCCGCACGTCAGAGAAGGCCCGGCGGTAAGCCGAAGCCGTGGCCGGCCGCACAGCCGCCCGCCGGCAGACGCCCGGCTCGGACCCGTGGTGGCGCTCGCGCGCGGCAGCGCGGCGCCGCCGCTCTCGCCGCTGCTCGTCGGGCTCGACGATGGGCGGCAAAGGCCTCGAGCTCGACGGTCCAGTGGTCCCCGTCCCAGTGCTCGATCGCGCCCTCCCAGCCGAGCCGACACCTCGACCCGACTGGCGCGAGGTCCACGCGTCGCCCGCCGGGCCCGCTCTCGACGCCCGCCGCGGCTGCCAGGCGTCGCTCCCAGCAGGTGGCGAGGGGAGCCTCCCGCGCCCGGCGCCAGGCCCTCGGCGGGGCGGCATGCCCGAGCACGTCTGCAAGAGCGCGGCACAGCTCAGGAGGATAAGCCGCAGCGTAGGCGGCGCGCCACTCCGAGGGCTGGCCCGCCAGTCGGACTTCCCCCTGGAGCCGGACGTGCGGCGCCCCGGGGCACGGGCAGCGCCGCGCGAGCCCCCCGGCGGAGGGCAGGGTGGTGGCGATGGCCGTCGGCTTCTTCCAGGGGGCGCCGAACGCGCACATGTCGAAGACCAGGTGCGCGGCGCCGAGCTTCCTGAGGGCTCGGGCGATCCCTCGGTGCAGAGAGGCCGGCGAACCGGGGCTGGGGAAGGGGCAACCACGTGGACAGCCCATGCGGTTAAAGCAGAGCTCAAAGTCAATAGTTAGTTAATTGATATATTCGTATATTGTTGGGTTATGTAAAAAATATTAGATAAGCCTTATGGGGGCATGAGCTCTTGAAGATCATCTGACCTGGCAGGTAGGGGGGTCGCTGCCCTTATACCCTACTACGCACCTCGTCGAAGGCGGAGAAGCCAACCCAGTAGTCCGGGCCGGTGTCCACCCCGTGCACGGCGTGCCGAGCAGAACGGCCCAGATGGCCCCCGCCCGAATCCACCGCACAACTTCTGTAGCAACTTTACGATTGAGAAGATCGTGATGCCGACCGTGGCGCACATCGACAGGAACTGCGACGCGGAGGCCCAGCTCGGCGGCGGCGGCTGTCGCCCGCCCGCACCCGGCAAAGAGCTCCACGACGGCGGGTCGGGCCCGAGCGACGTCAGGGACTCGGCGGCCTCCAGCTCGCGCTCGGCCGTCAGGTGGCCCCCGCAGGGTTCCTGACCGCGCCGGGCGGCCCATGAGGTCCTGCTGTCGGTCGTGGTCCGCCCCGGGGTCGGCGCCGGGGGAGGCAGCCGACGGTCCCAGGACCCTGGGCTCGGCGCCCGCGGCAGCCTCGCGCGGGCCCCGGGGCTCAGGAGCCGACCGCTCCCACTCTGGCCCGACGGCGGCCGCGAGGGGAAGCCCGCGAAGGCCTGCGCCTGAAACGCGCTGGCCAGGGCGCAGCCACCCTTGGTAGGCGAGCCTCGAATCCTCGTCGGACGGGTTCCTGTCGGTCTCCACGTAGCGCCGGTGCCAGTACAGGCCGCCGGCGAGCTGCGCGGCCGCTGCGCGCCGTACCAGCCCCAGCAGCTCCGCGTCCCGCGCCCGCCCTCGATCAAAGGCGAGGGTCTCCGCGAGGTTGTCCCCGAAGCTGAGGACGTGGTGGCCGTGCGAGCTCGGCTGCTCCAGCTCGCGGTGGAGCCCGAGGAGGGCGGCCCGCGCCTCCTTGCAGTGGATGGCGGCCTTCCGCCTCCAGCGACCCACCACCAGGCGCCTCCACCGCCTCGGCTCCACGAACGAGTCGGCGACCATGGGGACGAGGCCGGTGACCTCCCGCTGCACGCGCGGCTGCTTGCTGTGGTGCCGGTCGCCCGCGCGAACGACGCCCGGCTGCTCGTCGAGCTCGCGCTGGAGCGCAGAGTCCAGCTCCTCGTCGACCCACTCGGAGAACGAGCCGGGGGCCGGGGGGCCCGCCACCAGGCAGCCGCGCAGCGTCTCCAGGTCGGCTCGAGCCGTCGAGTCCGTCGGCTCCACGAAGCGCCAACGCTCACGCCAGACCGCAGTTGGCCAGAGCTCGGCGGGCGACGCCTCGGCGCAGTGAAGCGCGTACCCCT